GAAGGCCACGAGGTTGGTCAGGCAGGACTTGCCCTTGGTGAAGCCATGCTGGCTGTCTCGAATCTCCGCCCTGTCCTCCATGTGCCTTAGCATAGCTTCCAGGAGGATCTGTTCCGTGGTCTTCCCAGGCACAGAGGTGAGACTGACTGGCCTGTAGTTCCCCGGGTCTTCCTTTTTTCCCTTTTTAAAAATGGGGGTGATGTTTCCCCTTTGTCCAGTCAGTGGGAACTTCTCCGGACTGCCACGACTTCTCAAATACGATGGATAGTGGCTTAGCAACTTCATCCGCCAGTTCCTTCAGGACCCGCGGATGGATCTCATCAGATCCCATGGACTTGTGCACCTTCAGGTGCCTTAGATGGTCTCGAACCTGATCTTCTCCTATAGTGGGCGGCTCTTCATTCTCTCAGTCCCCGCCTTTGCCTTCTGCGGCTTGGGCGGTGAGGCTCAGGCACTTGCCGGTAAAGACCGATCTTACTGATCTTAAGATCTTACTGAGCTTAAGCAAGTATTCACCCTGATGAGTACTATTAGCACATAATTGAGATAAAGAAAACTTACTGCATATTTGCTTTTTTTGAAGCACAGAAATATTGTTCTCTTAAACTGGGACTGTTCGTAGAAACATTCATCATTTGCTTTAACTTGCCAGCTGCAGTCTGGAAGAGACAAGGCAAAATGGGTCAACACCTGACTGTTATAAACATGAAGGAACAAATCTGCCAGTTTCAGGTTCTCTCTCAAATGCCATCTTTTAAAGGTACTTTCAATTGAAACAAGACTGGTACCTGCTTTTTAGTACATAGTCTAAAAAAAGGTTTTCAAGAAGTTTCCAGGCTATTTGTCTTTATTAACAATTAAAATATAATCTGAGGTAGGAAGAAGTGGTGATTAACAATTTGGAAGTTCTATGAGAAACTGAAAACCTGTCAGAGTAACATTTATTCATGCTAAATCCCTTCTTTCCCCTCTTTTGGTTTGCTTTTGTTACACCTGTGAAGCACTAAGCACCCAAAGCAGGGTTTCTCAGTCTTTCTAGAAACAAAAAGGTCCACTCTACTTAATTATTTCATATAACCATACTGTGCAATGGTTTTCATTTACAACCATAAAAAATAGTAAAAATCTGAAGTGCTTGTTTTATTTCTTCAGCCATTAATTTTTTTTGATTGCTGGAAAACTCAGGAATATGAATTGCATTTTGCGGTAAAATTTAATAAAACTAAACAAGCGATGTCTGCAACAGCCTTCTGAAGTTTTTGGACCATAAGCTGATAAAATTGCTTACAAAGCAGCTGAGCAATCTAGCCTCCTTCTGTCACTTTCAGTATTTAGCATTTAATACCTGACTTGACATACAGCCTCCCTAAGGAAAAAGTTTCTAGAAGACTTGCTAACAAACCATCCACCTCCACCTTAAGGTCCCTGTTGTTAATCTAAGTCCTACAAAGTTCATCTTTAAATGGGGTTCATCTGGGATGCACATAGCTTTTGGCTGACCACTACTTACTGCCAGAATGCCTCC